AGATAAATTATCAGTCACAGGGTCTCGTATCGATCTCAGCACATTTAGGGGGGGGGCTCAGTTAATGAGATAAATTATCAGTCACAGGGTCCCGTATCAATCTCAGCACATTCTAGAGATTCAGATTCAGCATTGTGCATACTGCCAGATCTTATGAGAATAGCAACAGTGTGTAGAGCTAAACCCAGCATCTAAGCAGATGGTTACAAAGATATATTGTGAAACAATTTTGAATTTAATGGTATCTTTATGTGTAACAACTAAATAACAAAAGATTGCTTAGCAGTCAAAAGATATACTCCCTCCGTTCCAAAATATTTGTCTTTCTAGAGATTTCAAATGAACTACCACATACAGACCATTCGCAAAAAAAAAACTACCACATACAGATGTATATAGACATATTTAGAGTGTAGATTCACTCATTTGCTTCGTATGTAGTCACTGGTTGAAATCTCTAGAATGACAAATATTTAGGAACGGAGGGAGTAGAGATCTGAATGTATGTATTATAGGATGTCGTCTATTCTTTTCCTTTTTTTTTGCGGGTGAAACTTTGTATTACTCAAGTGGGAAGTCCACAGTCTGCATTACAAAGTTCAATGACCTATGATAATCCAGAGTTAAGTCAAACTACTGGTCTACTCTTAGTTCTAGCAAACTTGGCCAAAAAATCACTAACATTATTTTGACTACAATGAACATAACTAAAAGTACTACTACGAAGATTCCTCAGAAGCTTGATTTCCTTCACCAGTGAAGAGAAGATCGATCTATCAATTGAATCATTAGTGATCATGTCCAAAGCCTCCCGTGAGTCCATCTCAACCTGAATAGGTAGCTCCGTTCTCTGAATAGCTAGCGAGAGACCCTCCATACATGCACTTAGTTCTGCCTCCAGTGCATTTCTGCAGGAAAAGAGCTCCCTGCATGATGTATATATGATCTGACCCTTGCTGTCTCGGAGAACCAGACCAGCTCCTGCTATCCCATCGACTGTCCAAGAGCCATCGATGTTGAGCTTAGACCAACCCTCCATAGGCAAAACCCACGCAATGTTTGGAGTTACAGGTGGTATCACTTGCGGTATAGACAAATGATCATATGCGACAACAATGTTTCCCTTTCAGCAGTTCCTCATCTGAATACTTAAGTGATAGTCTTTACAAAACGGCATCTTATCAGTACTCCAGCTAGTCTTTACAAGAATGGTATTATAACACCAGTCAAACTTTTATAGTTTTGACAACCAATATTTTTCAAAATATATCAATTAGAAGTGTGTGGTTGGGGTCCTCGAAAAGGGCTGAACCAAAGGGCCAGGTTCTAAAATTGTTTTAAAAAAAAACAGGTCCTGAACAAGGGCTAGATTCTACTAGATTCAAGAAGGGCTGGATTACGGAGTACATCTTAAGATTCAATAATTAGCATATTGGAAAGAGATGATCAATCATCCCAGAGTCCCATTAGTCCCGGCACATTGTTCTTCAAGAAAAGAGATTCAGATTCAGCATTCTGTATATCAAATCTTATGAGCACAGCAAAACTGCAGGGCTATACCACCCAACAACATCCTACAAGGGCTGAACAAGTGCCATAGTAGTACATGACATGATACCATATGCTTCCCACGAAGCCAATAGTAGTAGTTAAACTTAAGCTAACATCGCAGGTTCAGTTTGCTGAACCGCAGGGGTTCTTCCATCTACTTGCCTTGATCGTCCACAAGCTCATTCCAGAAATGTCATTCGGATCAGCGCTTCATTTCTCCAGGTCCATGCTCGGCTCCGGGTCGGCTGGAAGGCGCTTCTCCAGGTCGAGGCCCGGTTCCGGGTCCGAGCAAGGCTGCTTCTCCAGGTCCAGGCCCGGTTCCGGGTCCAAGCGAGGCTGCTTCTCCAGGTCTAGGCTCATCATTTCTGGGTCTGGACGAGGTCGCTCCTCCAGGTCCAGGCTCGGTTCCGGGTCCGGATGAGGCTGTTTTTCAAGGTCCAGGCTGGACTCCGGGTCCAGACGGAGCCGCTTGGGCTCCCGGTCACCTAGGTGCAGCGACATGGCGAGCTCTTCCTCTGACGGGTTGTTCAGGTTGGCGATGCTCCTGCGAGCATCGTGGTCATGGCGCACGGGAGACATGCCGACGAAGTTCGAGATGAACTGACGCTCTTCCATGTCAGAGGGGGTGTTGGTTGCGCCCTCCCCTTCGGTTGTGGCGTTTGTCAGGTCATGACGAGGCAGCTGCTGAATTTGGATCCCAAGAGGCTCAAAGATCTCTTCAGCCTTCTCTGCTGGGGTGGCTTCTGGGGCAGTAACAGTCACCGCAGAGGACTCCCCAATAGCAGAGGTAATTGCAGCCACAAAAGCTTTTCTTTGCTCCTGCACAGCATCTTTATTATACATGAATTACGTCAGCCTTGTACCATTGGAGCAAACGTAATTCAACAGTGAAGTATGAAAATGCCAATAACGTACTAATATAATCTGCATGCCAAACGTATTTCCAGGACAACACTGGAACATGAAGGGAACTGTTGAAGTACTCACCTTTGAGCGATTCGTCGTTTATGATCAGATCAAGTTCTAGACGATCAAGAAGGCGGCCAAGATCAACCCCTGTGGTCCAGTTTTCGGGGCCATACTCACTTGTGAGCTTTATCCTCCCACGGTTTGCTGTGCCACCCCATATTATCCCAATAGGACGTGGCTTCTCCCCATCCTGGCTGGTCAGGATAATAAGGCTTCCGCTGTCACCCTCCAAATCAAATGTTTGGCGGTTCTCACCAACGACGAGGAGGTCGGTGAAGAAGCATATTCCTTTCTCATCATTGTACTCAAGGGCATATGCCATCACAGTCCCAGTTGTGTGACCAGAGCTTCTGCCGACTTTGCAAACTTGCCTCCCGATGAGGCTCTTGATAGGACACTGCAGATCTATAATCTTAACATCCCCGATCTCACCGACTTCCCTAACTATAGTTGTGACTGTGGAAATGTCAAAGTCATCAGCAAATGGGATGAATGCACCATCAGCTCGTACAAATGTCTCTGCAGATCCACAGAGGGGCAGCATATATGTTTGGGGATTAGAACAGCACATATGCATCATATAAAACAACAGTAAACAGAAGGAGAAACTTATAAGTTTATAAAAATTTACATATATAAAACATAAACTAAGTTTTTTTTGTCCCATAAACAGATATGTATTGTTTTGTTCCTAAGTAGTCTAAAGCAAAAGTTGGTGTTGATCTGACTGACAAAAACTGATACAATCAGAAAGACAAGTCCTGCTTCACAAACTTATCTTTGTGTTTGTGGAATGCATTAATTTATTCATTTTATGCATTGAAGACATTGTGTTTAAATAGACGAAACATTAACTAGGCATTTCTCTATAACATATACTTTGAAGTTCAATTCTGTGAATAATACACGAATTCCCTATATCAACCAGATAATTTGTAGCTGCTCTACCTGGGTTCGTTCCAGCATAAATTCCATACCAAACATCATCTGTGATGAAAGATGTTGCCCTCTCGACAGCTCCAAGATAAACACCAGGCCCAAGATTCGGCGGCAACGGGTGAAACATCTTCTGGTTAGGATAGTTCAAATCAACTGCAACATGTCGGTTCGTGAGGAAACCAACTTGCTTGTTGTTGGTGCGTCGTTTCACAATTGCACCCAAAGTTCCAAATGTATCCTGGCTTGCAACCTGAGACAGTGAAACAGCGTATGGAGAACTCTCAGCAGGAAATGAGAAGCATGCCCTATTGAATCATTCAATGCACTATATGCTGCTCTAACTTCTGGAGTATATAATTCAGTTATGTTTTGGAAAAAAAAAATGTCATTCAAAATAGTACGTGAGTTTTAAAGACAAGTGGTGACTAGATTTGTGCAGGGGCCCAATTCTTAAGCTGCATATGATAACTTAGACCATTCAAGTACTTAGTCATTAAATGACACGACACTCTAGAGACTATTGGTGAGAAAGTTACTTCTGATTGCTGGTCAGTTCACAATGGGATTAACTTAAGTTACATCCAGTTGGCACTCTAGAGACCACCACAAGAAAAACGAATAAAGATTTATTTAAACTAAAACAAGAACAAAGTTAGCACTGGCAGGACTTCTAGTCGCTCTTTGTTATGCATAACAGTGTGAACTGATGTAGTAACTATCAGCCCGTGTCATAACCTTATGGGCACTGCAATTTTATTCACTTTGTCCAAAGAATCCTGACAAAATTTGAACGGCCCACTGGCAAGATAGAGAGAATAACTAGCAGTGCATGTCTGTGCCCAATCCAATTTATACACATGGCAGCATTCACTGCTTAAAGAAGATGATATCTAGGCAATGCAAACCAATACAGATAAGAGCATAGATGTATGAACCTGAGAGCCTGAACCAATATATTCGTCACTGCCACAGAGCTTATTAACAAGCTCACTAAACATCTGTTCTTTAGGTGTTTGAGCCGGCGCACCATAGTATGAAAATTCTACGACATCGACATCACACCAAACACCTCCTGGACCCTGTAATCATCCAGACAAGTGAAAGATATTAGTCGACGACAAAACGACTCCAAGTCTGAAAACAAGCCTGTCCAATAATATAAGACAAGAGATAAAATGAGATTCTCGTACCGCAAGAATTGCAGGAAGGCATTGGTTCGGATTAAGCCATTTCTTGTGAACCTTTCGAGCAACGAAGACAAGAATGGCGGGGGTTTCTGTCAGAACCCCTTTTGTTATGCGGAAGCCCACTGCCGTTCCGAGACTGAAACGCTTCAATATCTTGCTGTGGAAAGCTCTTATGGTCATCAAGTCGAGCAAGCTATTTGCTTGCTGACCCTTGGGCAACTTTCCAGGGAGTATTGGCAGTAATCCTTTCTGGAGGTTCCCAAAGTAGTTTGCCCGTCCCTCCGCCGCACAATGCTGCAGGTTTGAAGTCGGCCATAAGAAGTATGCCGCGCTATTTTCTGTGTGCACACACCCAGAAGCAACCGGTTGCATCGATGGAGAACAAGGAAATGCCTCATGGTGAGAGCAATGCCCCTCCACGTCAAGCGACGACTCTTCCGACTGCGTCAAACCTGAGAGCTGCATCCTGTCATCTGAAGGCTTCATTGTGCCGAACAGTTGACAGATGTGATGGACAGGAGAAGCTATGGCCCTAAAAATGAGAACAAACAAGTCTGAGAACATAATCTTTCCAAGGCCAATGCCCTCAGGTAAAGATGTCAAGAGACACTGGACAAATCTAGCAAATGTGTTTGCGCTCTATAACTTGCATCGGACCGGGAAATATATGCTGAAATTAAGAGCATCCAAGTTATTATACACAAGAGAATAAACAAGTGCTGGTGGAGTAGCCTGATATTCTCGGGGAATAGGTTCTTGCAAGATTGCAACCACGCAAACAAAAGCAGGCAATATCATAAGAGGAATCCTCTGTACGACGAATATGACCCATTGTATATGTATATTCTTGTTGCCCATCAGCCGTAGAACCAAGCAGAGAACATCACAGGAGAGTGGAATCTGCAAAAGCCAGCGGGTGAAGGAAGTCTCCATCCGTTTGTTCGCGAAAGGCATGCCACAAATTCTGCCTTTAAACAGCAGGAATGAGCATAAATCCACATCACAACTACTTGTGATGATAACAAAAATACCGGCGCAAAAAGGTAGGGCCTACACACCAATTCAGCAGGCGGCACCGCTGGTGAAGTTTGGCAAAGGCATCATGCACTTTGTTGAAAGAGAAAAGGCATAATCAAAATCAGAAACGACCCGCCCACAAGAAATCGGGGGGAACAAACAGCAAGCACTCTCTCCTTGTTCCAGCCAATAGCAGGCCTGAAATCGGTTTTGCTGGAGCAATGCTACTTTTATCTGGCCGCAGAACCTGAAGCTGAACTGAAGGCACGCGAGCTGGATTGGTGCTGGTTGCTTGTAGGAACACCAGAGCGGCAATGGAACTCCGGTGGCGATGAGTCTTGGAGGCCGAGCTGCTAAGCTTTCCGTGGCATTTGGCCCCGGAAGCGAGGCCAGCAAGGAAGGCGGAAGGAAATAAGAAGAGGAACACCTGAAGCTGTTGCTGTGCAGGCATCAGGAAATTCCCATGGCACTGGTAGGGAGCAACAACCTAGTATACCAGATTGGCAATACAACCACCAACGGGACGAGCTGCCCCGCCTACGAATAGAAACCACGGGCCGCAAGGAAAAAGGGATACGAGGGACAGAAAAAGAAACCGCGCAAATCGAGGAAGGCGGCGTCAAGATCCTGCCGCCCCAAGGTCCAGCGAAAGATCCGGCCTCCGGTAGGACTTCGGGCAGGGGAGGGAGGGGTCGGAGCCGCTCACCTGGAGCCGGAGCAATGGCCGCGGCCTCGCGCCTCGTCCTCCCCTCCTATCTTCTTCTCCCAGCGCGGGTATCCATAATTGGGGCGGGGAGGCGGGAATCTCCACTGTTATTAGGGGCGAGGCCCGGGGGCAGAAGCTGACAGCTTTGCAGTCGCAGGCGGCGTCCCTCCCCCCCTCCCCTGCCCAGCCCCCCCTCTCACTGTTCGGGCCGTGTGCGCGGCAGCAGCGGCATGCGTGCGCCGCACAAACACCACAAGAAGAGGCTAGAGAGAGAGAGGAATGGGGAGGAGGCGCTGGGAATCTAGGGGGGGAGCTCGATCAGCAGCTAGGCGGTGGTGGTGATCATGGCGTGGTGGTCACAGATTGGGGTGAACAACAACTTCACTGTGGCGCCGTTGATGTGTCGATGCGTGGGTCGAGCCGGGACCTGTGGCCGCATAGTCGTCTGTGTCGCGCAGTGCAACGAACGACCCAGATGTCTCGCGGCGGGGGCGAGCGGACGTGGCCCTCTCCTGGCCGTTCGACCCTGGGGGGTTCAGCCTCCTTTGAACAAGGTGCACTTTTGGTCATGTCATGTCACATATATTATCGACAATGACAATATGAAAATGATAGGGAAAAATAAAATTAATGGAGTTGACCTATCGTAGAGGGTCCGACTGTAAACATATCTTTTTCTAACATATACTCCGTATTATGGATAACAAGATTTAAACGCAAGAGTAGCAGTGTAACACCCAATTCTTTTGGTGGCTTTTAAAGTAAGCGGCCCTTTCGTAGCTTATTTTGTAAGCCACCAGAACCTGGCCTAAGAAATTGAACATGATATGCAACTATTCAAATTTGATGCGGTCTTAAAAAACTATGTCTCCACTCAAATTTTCCAATGCAAATATGTTATTTTACTGAGTGACTATAGCTCTATCTCATAGTTGGATTGGATGGTTAAGAACAATTATTTCTTGGTAGCTTGAATATTTAATCAAATGTTATATGACAACATAGGCTCCCATGATTGCCACATCACAAGTGAAGGAAATATGTTATTTTTTATAAGTTTGTTGCGGTTGCTATTTTTGTGGACCAGAAATAGTAACATTTATGTGGGTCAAGACAAAAGAGATAGTAACAAGTGGGCTGATCATTTTTTTGCTTTATGGCGTGGTACCATATTTATGGTGTCTAGCTCATGAAAAATCCATATGTTCTATTCTCTAGCTTCATCAAATAAAAAGCGAAAAATGACACAGACATACTATTCTGTCACTACAGAACTATTTGATAGCAATGTTTGAACATTAAACACTCACGATACTGGGTTTTATGCATGTTCTAGTGAAAGGGTGAAAGTGCATCTAATCCCAAGGTGAACTTTGGTAATTCATGTCAACATATCTCAAAGAACTAATGCTACTTTAAAGTATATTTTAGGAAGAAAAAAAGGAAGAACATTGGAATGGAAGGTGACCCCTAAAATGCTTTAAAACAAGTGTCAGACAAGCCAAAGGATTCTTCGTTTCTTTAGTGATCCAATATCGCATTGAGTTTATAGGCATGGCGATACTGTCAAAATGGGATGAGAACGTGTGAGCCTTTTGCTCAATGTGCTTAGAGATCAAACTCCTTCAAGTTTTCCACTATATCTTTCTAATGCCATGCAACTTGATGATGCCAAAGCACTTCCACTCGAAACCAGCGAACCATCAGGATATAGTTGTCATTCCAAACCCTATTTCAATCGAAGCCTCCCCCATTCCATTCAAACCCACAGAAGCAACCTGGTAAACCTTTTGTTGTCACGTCAAAAATTTTGAGCCATTCCAATTGAAACTTCTGAAGTGCTAATAGTGAGTGTACCACAACTGAGGTAATCACTTCAGAACCACTGATTGATTTCCATTCAGACCTATCAATGCATATGGAAGTTTTCATTTCTGATCCACTGAGCAACACCAGTCGGAGCCTCTGAGATGTGCAAAAAGGTAAGTAATAGTCAGATTTCTCGTCCGGCTTATATATACCCCCAGCTATCCCGCCAGTTCATCTCAACCATCCAATGTTGGTTTCAAAGGACTTTCATCATTTGTTCTAAGAGAAAACGCCACATCCTTATGTTGGTTTCAAAGGACTTTCTACTCTGACCATCCAATCAAACCCTTTGATAAATAAACCCCTCTTTCTTTCCACTCCTACTTCTCCAACCATAGGCAAATCTTGAACATGTTTAACTGTTGAAGAGATTATCTTTTGAAGCACGCCGGCAAGGGATTTATTGTCAGCATCCTCAGATCCTCTATCTTGTTACTTTTGGTGGTTGTGCGCCTCTTAGATCAACTATGTGTTGCTTGGGAGTCTTCAAGTTTGTGACGAACTCGAAAAAGTTTGCATGGGCTTAGAGACCGCCTACTTCGTGACTAGTCCTTCATGGGCATAGGCCATGGTGGAATAGTTGGGTTGCTAATTCGTGAACCCTTTATGGGCATGTCCTTCGTGGACATTATTCCTCTATGGAATTTTGCAACTGGTATCCTTGTGACATTAGTTTCTTTGTGAATGGAAGCCCCCTTCAATGTGGATGTAAGATAGCACCAATTATCTGACCCACGGGAAAAATCTTCACCAAGCCAATTGTGTTTGCGACTCTCTCAACTCTACCTCACTTACTTTGCACTTGTATGTCTTTACTTTCGACTGCTGTATTCTAGACTTGCATGTATATGGTGCTCTATAGATTGCTAGAAAAGTCTAAAATCTGCCAAGAAATTAAAACGTGGGAAAAGATTCCCTTTGCTTAGTAGTCTCTATTCAACCCCTTCCCTCTATACATACTTATCAATACTACAAAGTAACCTAAACCAAATGCAACTTGCTATTTTAAGAGGTAGGCCTCCTTCGGTCCATAAGATAGAAAAATCATGGGAATAGGAAAATCATTAGAGTTCCTATAAGAAAAGAGATGTCACTTGGTTCATGGGATAGGAATGTTTCCATTAGGCCTGAGCTAAAAAAGTCCTTTGAAATCGGAAGGACAAGAAGCAATCTTACATACGAATAGAAATCCTTTCCTATGAACCAAATGGCTCAGTAGCAATTTTCTTTTAGCAATCTATCCTATAGGATTCCTACAAAAAAAAGGCCTTAGTGTGTGCTGGATGAAATGGAATGAAAGAAAAAATAGACATGACTTAATGTCTATATCGTTTGTGCATTTATCGTTTGTTTTCGTCCACAAGTGGTCCTAATAAAACATATCATAGACATGTTCAGTGTCAAATCTTGTCGCACACCAAATTGAATAACTTTCTTTTTAATACAATTTGGGCCACATATATTTGAGGCCAACACCGTTAGCATTGTTATACAACTATATGGAATCAGATGTGTTATCTACCGCACTGCTTAACATTTTATTGATTTATCTAAATTTCTATGGAACCTTGTATATTTCCTAACAAGTCATCAATTATCTTAGAAATAAAGTTGTACCTCTGTTTTCCAGGTGAAATATGAATGTTTGTTTTTGAAATGGAACTAGCTAACACGTTTTTTGTTTTTGTTAAGCTAGGTTGTTGAACCTTTTCCAGTGTACATGGGTCGAAAGACTACTTGTTTTCCTTGTCTTGATTTTTTGGTCTGGCTGCTTTCTGTGTTTCTAGAGAAAACACATAATAATACATTCTTTGGCCCCACTAATTAAAAAAATGATAGAAACATGGCATCAGTTCCATAGTTCAAAACTACTATTCCTATGACAAAGAAAATACTAGGCATAAATGCGGATGCATGTTTTTGCCGAATGTTTATGGAATGTTAAGATGGTTGATCTTGAACTTCTCATGCA